GGAGTTGAAGTCCACAAGTCTTAAACTTGCTAAGGTTGGAGACCCCTGATTTAGAACATATTAAAATGTTATCCTCATAATTCTATTTTATACAGCTAAACAAGGACAAATTAATTGTCATGGCACAAAAACACAAATAAAAGTGTCCTTTTATCAAGCCCAACACAACTAGGCAAGATCAATGAAACAGAAACTGTGCAGATTTCAGTGAAGTATCTTTAATGTTAGTCCACAGTAACTACAGAAAGTTGGACATTATATGAAAAAAATCCTGCCTCCATCTGTTTATTGAGACAGAATCTCTTCACGTTATTTGAAATACTTGTAAAAATCCATGCCAGCTTGGCTATATTGTGATTTATGAGATAAGGTACCAGTGAACTTGTCTTCTATCTTTTGATAATGTCTACTCACTTTTATATTTCTTTTCCTCCCACACCCATTCCCAATATTTCATATCTTTATATTGACATTTCTGGTCAATCTTTTTACCTATTCTGAAATCTAATAATACAGATTGTGATTTCCAGCTGTAAGTTAATGCAAGCTGTATTGTCTTAGAGGTAAACTTGAAAACAAGTAAAATATTATTACCACTGCTTATTTTTAGTGCGATCCAAACATACGGATGATTGCTTTGGTCCTGAATTCTCAACGTTCCTTCCTATCCTGCTGGGTTGGAAAATGGTGTCGCCACATGAAATTAGAACTGAGCAAGCCATGGGACTCAGTTCACACAGGAATCTAGCCAGAAGATGGTCTCCTATTTTTCTGCAGCTGTAGCGGTTTCTTAGTATTAATCTGGACGAAAACCTTTGCGAAACAGATATGACCGTAACATCCATGGGGCATCTTTTTATAAGGAAGAGTGAAGTGACCTCTATTTTTCAGGGCTTCAAAATATATGGACTTGTTCTGACCCAGCCTTTGCAGAAGCAAGAAACAGACTCCCCACAAAGAAAAACCCCTCTTTATTTACACATTGGGAATTAACTGCATTCACCAACTGAAAGTCCAGGCAAGTGTCCTGTAAGAAATTAACTGAAACAATAGTCCTTATCAGCTCATTATGATAAATGCAAGGCTGTGAGCTCCCAGCCGAGAGGCTGCAAATTAAGTC